GAGAGAGAGAGAGAGAGAGAGAGAGAGAGAGAGAGAGAGAGACTGTGTGGAGCTGGAAGAAACATGCCCTTCTGGCACTGAGACTCTTCAGCGTTACAGGCGAGAACTCTGTGATCCGCAACACTGACACATGAATAAAAACTTTCCCACTGCTGAGCGGCTCCCCTCTCTTCCTTCCTTTTTGTTTTGGTTCCCTTCCTAATCTGACCGTGAAGAAGGGGAGCTCCAGTGGAGCTTGTTGAGCGTGTGTTCATGGCTGACAGYGTTGTGAGATGACTGTCACAAAGAAGGATGCTCATTAGACGGCCATGGCTGAGGCTAATCTGATTAGCAGCTGTCACACCATCTTCCTGCTCACAATGAATGCCCCGTCCCTTCCTTCCACTTCGTTGCACCACTGTCTCCTTTCCGTCGCTACTTTTCTTTCATTTTATACATCCATTTCCTTCCTTCCTTCTGAACACACAGCTATCGTGTTCATTCTCTGGGCTCATCCGTTTCGCACATGAAATCGTGGCTTTTTATGACTCATGAGCCATAAAGATCTACCAAGCGTTGATAAAAATGTGCTGACATTATTACAGGTTTAAAAGGTTTGAATGTGGATGTCCGGTCTCTGCCTCTCTATCGTTACTGTTGATCAGATATGAGGAGCAGAATTAAGAGAAGGCCCACGCCACAAAGGCAAGAGTGTAAAATTAACCGTTAAGGACAGCATACTAAAAGAGTCAATGTGGGATCTTCAAAACTTCAACAAGTCTACCGTTAATTAGGTGTTAATCAWGCACTTATGTTAGAATTTGATAAATGTCTTCAAGAACTTCGTTCTCTGTTGTTGCATTCACTGACTTCCTGGCATTAAGATTCATTACCAGGAGTAAAACAATAATTGCTATGATTAGTTACACCTGTGGATTTCCTGTTACAGCAAATTGAATTATTTGCTTTCAAAAATTACACATTTTTTCACTGTATATGTTAAATTAGATTGAGTGTTTAGTGTCACAATAGCTATTAAAATGGGAAAGCAGCTCTAAGCACAACTTGGAGCCAGATTAGMGTTTTCTCATCATTTCTGTGCATTAATGTCATTTTTGACTGAAAAGGTGTAAAGCCTAGATGTTAGAATATCAGTTTGATAACCAGGAGCAGAACTACATTGAGACTAATTACTGATTAGACCAAGCTCAGCTCCATCCTTGAGACCACTAGAGACTGGGGGCAGTTAGTGTTAGTGATTATCAGCAGAAGAAGATGTTGGCTCATAAGTTTGACACAATCAGCACAGCTGTCAATAATTAACTAATTGGGTAGTCCTAATGAAAGTTTAATAAGCTCAGGTGGAATGCCTGTGTACTACATATAGTTCATAGACTTTTTATGCTTTATTTACATTGCTGGTAGTAAGAAGCAAAGTGGAAATAATGGCTAAAGCTTCAGTTTTAGCCCTGGGTTTGTTGCAAATATGGTTCACTTTTTATTGGGATGTTTTAACTAGAAGCACTCGGAGAGTGCAAACCTCCGCCAAGTCCAATTTCCCCCATCCTGTAATAGAGTTAATGCACAAAAGCAGAGATGGAAACACCTTTGCCAAATAAGTTCTGACATAGCGAACATTTAWGCAGGCAGTATGCACGGGATTTCTTCCCGGTGGAGTCCAATGTTGAAAAAAAGGAAAAAAGTCAGACTCGTCACCCGACGTTATTGTTGAAAGATTTCGCATCGGTGCTATGTGATTCAAAAAAGCAGAGTTTTCATCGCGCGTGTAATCACACAGACACACACGCGTCTTCCTATCTTTGTGAGGACCACACACAGCGATCACAACCACGCACTGCACTTTCTTTTTTCCCCAAAGTTCAGCGAGAGGTGGATAGAGAGGTGCACAAATACTGTAGCTCTCGACTTGATCTGGCCTCATTTAAATAATAATAAAAATGAACAAACAACCTCCGAGTCTGAAGTCCACTGCATCACTCCTCTTCCTCAATCTTCATCGATCTGTGTACAAGTCTACCGACAATGTGGTGTGTTTGAGGAAATGGGAAAAATAGGTTTCATGGTGCAGTCACGCACTTTGTGGTCACAAAATGTTCTCTAAATGCGCACCAAATGCATAAAAATGCGCACATTATGGCAAGAATTATTCATCATTACATCTGGTTTTAACATTACTTTTATAAAGTTTGAAGTCCAAACACTGAAAGCTGTCACAGTTTTTTTACAGAAGCCCTGTGAAAGCATCACACCTTTGCCGATCTGAGAGGATTAAAAGAAAAAAATTCCTGTATCCGCATCGTGATCCGGATCTTCACCAAAATTTAAWGGTGTGTTACTTGTGCCAGTTTCCACATGTGATGTAAATGTCATGACAATCTGTCCTCAAGCTTTTGAGTAATGTTGTCCACAAACAGAACCACAGACAAGACAGACAGACAGACATACATACGCGATCGAAAACATTACCTCGCTGATGGCGGAGGCAACAATGTGAACCAAATTAAAAACCATTATGTTTCAGGGCAGGCTAGGTTCCAGATRAGCAACCAACAAATACTAAAGCATGACCGGCTGACCAATTACTACACTTCATAAACAAGCAAACATGCAAAAATAAAATCTTTTTTCACTCCTGTCAAAACTTTTATTTTTCAATCCTCCAAATAAGATCTATATAAATTTTCAACCAGTGAGCTCTTTATCAAAAACAAAACTCTCATGTAGCATAAAGCTGTTACACAATTTTAAATTAATGCTCCTTTTGTTCTTCTCATAAATATGACTGGAAAATGAAAGTGCTTTCTTGCTTTTTTCTTATAATTTTTCATCAGATTTTATATCTTCATCAGTGTGCATCTGTTTGCAACTTTAAAAAAAACATTCAAATGATCAAATAAATAAAGCTCTTAGCACACTGTCATAACAAAATGTATCTGGGTTATTAAGCGTAGTCACCCTTTCAGCTAAAGTTTGCATTTGTGTTTAATTGGTTTGAAGATCAGCACCAGGATTACATRTTTAAGGCTAAGGCTAACAGTGTTRCATTTGAACGTTATTGATTTGTGCTTACTGCTCTGCATGCTTCATGTTTCTAAGTACTTTTTTTCTGTTTTGATCTGTTACTTTGGCCCCAGTTTTGTGTTTACAATCTGCCACCAAATCTATAATTTTATATAACAAGTTTCAAATAATCTCCTTGGACTTATCTAGAAACAAAACTATAATAAAATGAAACAAAATCCCTGCATTGCTTTTTACCACTGTGMAATATGACTGTTTTTTAAAGAAAAAAATAGTATTTGTTTGCGATTTAGATAAAGTTAATTTGTAATAACGGCATGGGGGTTCTTGTTTGCAGGAAGCTCAGTAGCATGAAACGCAGAGGGAAACTAAACAGATCTAAGATTTAATATCTGCAACGTTTGTGGCCTGTTAGATGAGAAAAAATTGCTTGGCAAAACTCACCATTAAACCAACATGACCGCTTTCTCCTTTCTCTCCTGGTGGTCCGGGCATCCCCTACACATTGACAAGCAAGAGAGAAAAAAATGGATGCTTATAAAAGATAACCTGGAGCTATTCTTGCTGGAGCTGAGAGCAGATGTTACCTGTAGTCCAGAGGGACCAGTTGGTCCCTTAAATCCCCGGGGTCCTTCATCACCTTTTGCCCCATTCACACCCATTTGTCCACGAGGACCTGAGTCACCATCTGCCCCCTGAAACGTGCATGGACTTATAACACTGAAAAAAAAAACAATGATTGTGAATTTATGTCGTGTTTTTTAGCAAAGGTTCGTACAGATGGTCCTGGTTGGCCCACAGGCCCTTGAATGCCAACAGGTCCTGGTGGTCCCTTTAAAACAAACAGCAGATAATTAATTGTACAGAAACCCAGTAATTATGGTACTATTAATTACCCAAACCAATGAGTCATGTTATTATCAACCTCAGAGTATTCAGTGAGGATAATGTCAAATCAGAATTTTTTACATAAAAATGTACTCTTACCCCTTCCCCTTTGTCTCCTTTGCTGCCTTTCTGACCCGGTCCTCCTGGTTCCCCCTACAGATTTAAATTTACAAAAACATGAACAACAGGGTTCAATAATCAGCACAAAACTTTTAGCCGATTTTCAGTCCAGACTTACTGTCCAACTCAACTACCTTGTCTCCGTCCTCCCCGGGAGGCCCGGGTGATCCTGTAACCCCAGGAAGTCCTGCAGGTCCTGGTTCCCCATCATGCCCAGCTGGCCCCACGCCACCCTTCTCTCCCTAAGAAACAGATGGGAAAGCAGCACACATCTAGCTGCAATACTTACATCCTCACATCACAGCATGACAGATTGATTAATGYCCTTTATCAACGAGGAAAGTCACTTTCAGGAAATTAAACTTGATCACGTTTTTTGTTTCTTAATCTGTCTTTTGTTTTCTGTCTCAAAATAACACATTTGAAAATGAGAGCACGTGTTGTTTATTTCACCCAGTAGTAGGAGGTGATGGTGCACTATGTGTATGTGTTAGTGGCAACAGTGAAAGCAATTAGCGATTCTCCAAATCTTACTGGCTCGCCTTTCTCTCCAGCAGGCCCAGCAGGACCGACGCTGCCCGACCGTCCTGGCTGGCCAATAGCGCCAGCCGGCCCAGCGGGACCCCTCTCTCCTGTGGCACCCTGGAAATAGAAGACGAGAGGTGAAGCAAGTATCTCACATGAATCATACTTTTTTWTTATTTAATGTGGTGGTCACGATCACCGGTCGCCATGGAAACAACCCACTTTATGAGTCCTAGCACCTTATGTGACATGAACGTAAAGCAGGACGTGGGACAGGAAACAGTTTTGTTAACGCAGACTTACAGTAGATCCTGCAACACCAGGTTGGCCTTCTCCTCCCTTTAGACCTGGAGGACCCTTTAATAAAAAAAAACACTTTTGCAATCAAATTACATAATTATACACCACAAAACTGTTAATTCAAAACACTAACKCATACAGGTCCTTCTCAAAAAATTAGCATATCATGAAAAGGTTCTCTAAATGACTTGTTAACCTAATCATCTGAATCAACAAATTAACTCTAAACACCTGCAAAAGATTCCTGAGGCTTTTAAAAACTCCCAGYCTGGTTCATTACTCAAAACCATAATCATGGGTAAGACTGCTGACCTGACTGCTGTCCAGAAGGCCATCATTGACACCCTCAAGCAAGAGGGTAAGACACAGAAAGACATTTCTGAACGAATAGGCTGTTCCCAGAGTGCTGTATCAAGGCACCTCAGTGGGAAATCTGTGAAGGAAAAAGTGTGGCAGAAAACGCTGCACAACGAGATGAGTTGTCAGTCAGTGATGGTCTGGGGTGCCATGTCAGCTGCTGGTGTTGGTCCACTGTGTTTTATCAAGGCCAGGGTCAATGCAGCTATCTGGAGATTTCAGAGCACTTCGTGCTTCCATCTGCTGAAAAGCTTTATGGAGATGAAGATTTCATTTTTCAGCACGACCTGGCACCTGCTCACAGTGCCAAAACCACTGGTAAATGGTTTACTGACCATGGTATTACTGTGCTCAATTGGCCTGCCAACTCTCCTGACCTGAACCCCAGAGAGAATCTGTGGGATATTATGAAGAGAAAGTTGAGAGACGTAAGACCCAACACTCTGTATGAGCTTAAGGCCGGAAATGTGCAAATTTTTTGAGATTGGGATTTTTGATTTTTCTTTACTTTTTTGCCAAAATCATCAGTATTAAAACAATAAAAGGCTTGAACTACTTCAGTTGGTGTGCAATGAATCAAAAATATATGACAGTTTAATGTTTATCAGGAAATTACAGAAAATAATGAACTTTATCACAATATGCTAATTTTTTGAGAAGGACCTGTATATTGCCAGCTTAGTTTTAACCTTAATCAAAACTGCGTATTTAAACATAATCAGCTGTTGGTAGTAAAAACAGGTGAGGAAGTAAGGAATCTTAAAATGTCTGTTACCACTGCACCAGGGGTCCCTCTGCTCCCTCTGAAGCCTTTAAGCCCAGGAGGTCCACTCTTTCCTGGGTTTCCTGATGGACCTGGATCTCCCTAGAAACCAGGCATGCACACACATGTGACTGGATTAAACARCAAGTAGCCAGTGAATAGAAAGGCCTTACACAGTCATAAATCACACAAAGCAGCAAGTCGCATTAAGTGGGAACATTTATCTTTATGAGTCCTAATACACTAAACAGCATGAGGTTTCCTCTCTTATTTATTGGCAAATCAGAGCTCCGGATTAGGCCCAGGAGATAACATATTCAGACAGTGCTGAGAGCATACTTGCACTTTATCTAAGAATATTAATGATGAACATAGGTGATTATGAGCCTGACATTATGATGAAAAGCACTCACCTTGGCACCCTCTTTTCCAGCAGTTCCAGGTAAACCATGCTCACCTGGTGGTCCCGGTGCACCTGGATGACCTCTATCTCCAGTTGGGCCTGTCTCACCAGTTTTCCCCTGGAAGCAATCACAGAATGCAACGTGCACTTTGTAACGGATATAAAAGTTTGAATGTAGAATGACCTTGGTCAGTCCTCTTACCTGTGGTCCAACAACTCCTGGGGGGCCAGGAGGTCCGTTCTTTCCTTGGAAGCCCTGAAAGAAAACGACAAGTGAGTTTGCTGACCTTTAGTTAAGGAGAACTGGACTAGGTATCCTCTTCTCTTCAGCTATGACAGCATTTTTATTGGATTCAGTGGAATATGTCAACTCTTAATATTATTTACTGTAAGTGTAAACCCAAGGTGAAAAAATATTGCTTCAATATAAAAAAGAGACTTACTGGTTCTCCTCTCTGACCCGGATGGCCTGGTAATCCATCCTTTCCAGGTGGACCCTGAAAACAGAGCTTTCCTTACATCCCTGCAACAAACTGGAATTGAGCAAAAGTTCATAWAAAATGTTAGCGTGACCTACTCACATTAGGTCCTCTAGGTCCTGGTTCACCATGCCCCCCTTGTGCTCCTTGAGGACCCTAAAAAAGAAGAACTCAGGCTGTCAYTTTCATGCTACAAATGTGTTTGTGAGATTTATTTTTCACTTGCAGCACAGAAGTTCAGTGATTACCCGGTCTCCTAGAGCTCCTGGAGGACCATCTTGTCCAGCAGTACCCTACCAAAGGAAGAAAAAAATCCAACTAAAGAAAAAATAACTTGAAGATTTTCAGCTTTTGTGACTGACAGCAAAGCTTTAGCTCTCCCAAGTTGAATTTTGAAGGTGAAAATACAAACTGAAGCAACCCCGCCCCCCATCCCCTACCAAACAGTTGCTTCTCTCTGTGCCAGATGGCCTGTCATCTAGAAGTGAAATGCAACAACCAGTTTCATCTCAGTCGAAGCACTCATCCATATTATATGAGGCAGCCAGGTGTGTTTATGTGTGTAACTGKATGTGCTTGTCTCAGTTTCTGCCACCAAACTCACCTTTTCTCCAGGCTTTCCAGTTGGCCCCTTTGGTCCTCTTCCCCCTCTGGYTCCCTATTAGAACACAAACAGCTGTCTGATTAGCATATGTACAAAGAGTTGCAGGAAGAAAAAAAATCCTATTAAGACCTGATTTTGGCTTCCTTCCACCAGTTGCAAACTGGTGGCACCTAATTAGACACAACATTGCTTTACACGTTACAAGAACCTGGTGGGTGTACAGCAGACTCACATTAGGACCTCGTTGACCCCCTGGACCTGGCTGACCAGCTGCGCCCTGCATTGTAAAGGCCATCAATTATTTGTCAATAACTATTTATCGTTTGGCCACTTTTACTGTACCAAAAGTGTGCAGYGTGACGTGGACTGAAATGTCAGCACAGCCTTACCCTTCTCCCTTTCTCTCCCAGCATGCCGGCTCCACCGGGGAAGCCAAGTGTTCCCTGCAGAGACAAGTAGAGGTTAATCAGCCTCAGCTCTCCATTTATCACATGACACCCCCAATGTCTCATTAACTTATAATTAACTACTGTATCAAATTAAAGCAATCCCAATCCATGAGCTCAACACAGCCCTAAATACATCATTCATCAACATGTAATAAATCGATGTCGCTAATGAACTATAAATAATCTAGCCTTTTTTTGAATATGTCGTTTGTCATACTTTATTTTTAAATCAGACAGGAAATAGGGAAGGACGCWCACTTGGCTCTTTAAAACTCTAATGAAGAAAGTTTTTTTTCCTGATTGTGATAGACCATCAGTGCTAAAGTTACCTTAGGACCTTGTCTTCCTGGGTAACCAGGCAAACCAGGCACGCCAAGTTTACCCTGCAAAGAGAGCAAAGCAAGAAATAAGTCAGTGACAAGTTTAAGGAAAACTAAGAATTTTAACAGTTTTTTATTTATTTATTCTATATTTATTCTCAAAACCCTACTGCCTGCTGCTTTGTTTGTTCTGATTGAGCACAAAATTATTGCCTTATAATCAAATGTTTAAATATTTATATTTGGCAGTTTTGTCATCGGTTCCTTTTAGGTTACATGAAATACTTACATATCAAAAACTGAGTTAAACTTCGGCTACTTATTGGATTTAATGTAGCAACATAAAAATAAGTTTAACTCGTAGGTTTCTTRACATGTCCGCCCATTGTTTTTGTACTATCCTCAGTTCAAAATGATACCTTTTCGCCTGCTATTCCAGCTGGTCCTGCATCTCCCACAGGTCCTGATTGACCCTTTAGCCCTTCTGGACCATCCTCTCCACGTGGACCAGGAACTCCATTATCACCCTAAAATAAATAAAAAATAGAAGCAAAACAAAGCAACAGAGTTTACTTTACTTTACAAAGACAACCTGAACGATAATGATAATAAGTTTGAAATGAAGAAACATTTTCACCCTGTCTCCTTTGACACCCATGTCACCCTTAGACCCTGGGAAGCCATCTTCTCCCTATAATAATAAAAGGCGAATTCTGATGACCGCTTTAAAATCCCATTAACACAACGTCATTTACAAAATATCCTAAAGTCCACAATTTTACAGCAAGTGATGAAATAAAAACTCATTATTTGTTGTTCTCACTTTTTCTCCTTTGCTCCCCTTCAGTCCTCGGACTCCATCTGCTCCCTGTGAAACAAAACAAAACACCTCAAGAAAATGCTCTGAACTTTAAGTGTAAGTATTGACAGGTTAAACGAAGGAGTGGCTATAAAGTGTCGTAAATTTCTGCTGACAAAACACCGCTCTGTTATTGAGATTTTATTGGCCATGAAATAATGTATTACAACAGATTGCCAAAAAAAGGTCAGGCCTTCTTTTAAAAATGATAAAAGTGTCACAAAATCGGGCCCTGTGCAGAAATTAATTTCACTTGATCAATGAACCCTTATTGAAAATGGAGCGCGCTGCGCTGCTACACAAACAGCTCGGTTCGACGCGTCAAATCTCTACCGTTGTTGTTAAAGGTCCTCTTGAGACGGGGCGCTCGCCCTGTCACCTGTCAGTTATACACTTAAACAGCTTGTCCATCAAAGGAGCAAAATCAAGTGAGTGAGGGAATATATACTGTATCTGTAAACCTGAGTTCACAGTGCATTTATGTCTCACCTTGACTCCACGAGTACCTGGATACCCAACTGGACCCTGGATRCCAAGTAAACCCTACATGAAAACACACAAAAAAGGGAAAGAAAAAAAAGAACAACAAAAAAAATGTTACTTTTAAATAGCAGAAAAAAAACTTGACCAGGCTGAAAAAAAGCAATGCAGTCACTGTGTTCCATCTTTTAAGGTTGGAGAAAAAGATGATTCTTCAAATGATTGTGACGAATGCATGGCACGAACTGTAATGGGCTAATACTATAATAAAGATAATGACGTTTTTGGAGCACAGTGATCAGAATAACAAGCCTTACTGGGGGTGACTGCACTGCCACAGCAGCATGAAAAAAAAAAACAGGATAAACAAAACATGATTCAGCTGCTTTATAATCTGACTTAAACCCCACAGAGGATGAGCCTCTGACATACAGTTACCCACTTGGATGCCTTTTTCTCCTGGGGGGCCCTCTCTTCCTGGGTGACCCTAAAACAGAAAAAATATATATATATATTACAATGCATGAGCACAGCTCCGAATACATCATTTTCATATCTCTCCCTAACAGAATTTTTCTGAACGCAATTAACAAATGAGAAAGTGTCACAGAGAGTGAAGAAGCACCTTCAGGTATCATTGTGTCACAAAGCTCTGCAGAACAATGTGAGGAGCGGGATGTGAAACTCATACAAATGTGTYTGACTGCAATGAAAAATTAATTCCTTGAGATGAGAAAAGCCTCCCTGTAAGAAGATCTGTAGTCCTCATTCTAAATGTCAGCCTGCTTCGGATCAACTCTGGAAAAGCCTCAGGTGAAAAAAAAAACTACAGAAAATGTAAGTTGGCAAATTCAGCTCATTCAGTTGCAYTTAATTAGATTCTGGATTTCATGTGTGTGCTCACAGACATGTGTATGCATGCAGTGTRAAGATTCAGCATAGTAAACTGAATGGAGTGCTGCCTCAGTCTGCTTTTCTCTTTTTTTTAGACAGCAGATGAAGATTTGTTTCACACGACATATTTGAATAAAGATCTAAGTCACACTTGTGTTTGCATTGAAACGCTTGTGTATTTGTGCATCTGTGGGAACTCACRGGAGGACCGTCAACACCTGGTAATCCTTGTATGCCTTGTTTACCTATGGGACCCTGTAGGAGACATAAGGAGGGAATAATGCAAAACACTTTTGGATGCATGTTTGTCTATATGCATACATAGGAACTTTTTTTTTTTGCATATTTTTTATGTTGCTTTACAATAAGCACCAGCTTGAGCTTTTGTGTGTGTGCAGTGCCTGTGTGTGTTTGCTGAGTATTGATTTCCTGTCTCCCTTCGTCTTGCCTGAATGGTAGCCAGAAGAGGCTGGTTCATACTGTCCTGCTTGGCTTGCTTACTCTAGGTGTGTGATGACAGATGTCAGCAGGTCACAGCTTTATTTCTCAAATTAAGTAAGAGACATGCCACCTACCTTCTCTCCTGGCAGTCCAATGGGACCCTGAGGACCAGGAAAGCCCTGAACCAAAACAAAGCATCAATCAGATTAAGTGCTACAAGAATACAAAATAGCTAGTAGCCTGGATTTTGCTTAAATCTGCTGTTTATGTATTTAAGAAAGGCTTGTCTGAGTCATAAATGTAATAYACTGTTAAAATACTAAGAAAGAGCAAACACGATTCATTTTGCTTGGCAGAGGAACAGTTTATTAAAATATCTAAGAAAGATTAGTTCTTAATCTGCAGATGAAAAAACTAGTTTTAGTCATTTATTTAAAAATCTAAATAAAAACACAACTACATATAAACAATCATAAAAATGTGGTTATAATTGTTCAAGTTATATCACWTATTTAGAGACCTGTTCAGTGTAAGTTCAGTGAATGGATAAACAGGAAATAAATTGAATTTGCAACATGTAAGTATTGTACCTGTGCTCCAGGATTTCCTTGTTGACCTGGGGGTCCTATTTCACCAGATGGACCCTAAAAACAAGAACAGGGGTGGTCACTAACTCTGTGTRTAAATGTTCTTCATCACAAACATAATTTCAAAGGCTCAAACTCTCACTGATGGTTACTAAAGTAAGGACTTAAACAGCTCTTACATAATTAGTTATTAATGACTGATTAATAAAACAACAAATGAGTACAAAAGTAAGACTGACCTGATTGCCCTTTGACCCTTGAACTCCGTCACTTCCATGAAACCCCTTATAAAAATGGACACAGATTCAAATAAGATGAATAAATCATGTAGGAACAGTCCCAGTGGCTTCTTTGTTTATCTTCAAAGGCACRACAATGATTCCGTGTTTTGGATTTAAAGAGACGGTTGTGATCTTGTCATCAAGGCCATGTTGACTCACCGCTTGTCCAGGTGACCCGGGTGGCCCCCTCGGCCCGACTAGACCTCGGGGACCCTGGAGAAACAGAAACACAGCACAGTCAGCATCTAACCTGCATTCATGGTGAGACTGAATGAGTGTAGAATACTAAAGTATAAATCAAAACGAAAGGAGCGGGTGAAATTGAAAAACAGCGAGAGACAGAAAGTGTATTCCCGTGAKTGTGCAGGTCTGTTTTTGTGCGTGTGTGTTTGTGAGATGTGTTTGTGTCAGCTTCTCACTTTGTAGGCTGGCCAAGCCACCTGTTCCAAAGCCACATCTGTGATCTCCTGGGAGGTGATTGATATGGAAATATAATGATTCAGGCCAGGACCGCATCCCTTACGCTGCCGACACTTTCTTCCTCCATCTACCTCGACTTATTTACCTCAAGCCAAATTTCTGTCTTGTGTTTTGTGTTCTGCTGTCTCACTGTTCCCATCCAGCCCTGCTTCTCGTCATAACTGCTAGCGCCATTCCTTTCAAATGTTTTTGTGCTTTATCAGAGTTTCTCTAACGCGGCTCATAGCAACTCCATTTCCGCAAGCTCTGAGAGGTGTATCTGGAGTGACAGAACCCTGCTGAGGTCTAACCTCACCTACTGGGWGAGAGAGAGAGAGGGTGAGTCATAAATGATTAACCAGAATTCATGGCGGATGCACAGAAACAATGACAGCCTCTTCAGCTGCGATGTTTTAACTTCAGGTTCACTGGAAGCTTGTCAGATTTTAGATAACTGGGTGAAAATAGAATTAGAGTTACGGATGCAGAAACTGAAGCCTAAAGAGCTCTTTTTTTCTTTCAAGTTACTTTTTTCTGTCATAATGTAACAGTGAATGGTGTAGCAGTATTTCAGTGGTATAAAATGAGGAATCACTATCATTCGACATGAATTTACTATAAATAAAAAAATATTTAAAAAAACATTACTAGTCTGCGCAGTTCTGCTCAATTCTAGTTTCCCACTAGACCCTTGTCTGAAGCAAAGTGAAGGACAAGGGTTTGGTTTTAACCAGGCTAATTATTTACTTTTTTTATTAGAAATGTATGTGATGAAATCTCTTTAAGTACGSTTTAGGACGTGTCAAATTTATGGCCTGGAGGCCATACTTCGTCCATGGGTGACTTTCATCTGGCCCACCAAAAGCAACCCCCCCCCCCNAAGAAACAAATATGTTGTTGTTTTTTTCTCCACTGACCTCCTGCTGGCCAAAAGCTTGACTGTTGTGTGGCAAAGCGAAATCACAGTCTGGTATGTAGTTGACACAGTAGTCAGCAGCAGCCTGTGAGTCATCCACAATCATCAGCTGCTGAATATCTCCCTGAAAATAAAAACAAGTCGATAAGAAATCATCTTATCAAAGCACCGGCAAAAGCAGAGAGATGCTGAYGCAAAGTAAAGAAATATTTTTTGGGGAAAAAAACATGTCAGAMTAATTATATTCATAACCAGTTGCCTTGATGCACTTTCTCAGTGCAAACACAGATATGGAAACTGTATGGATGTATGGAAATCAATGTGTTGGAGATCAAACTAAGATCAGGGKGACCAGAGTCAGTAAATATTCCACACAGTGCTTCCTTATGTTAAAGAGTGGTCTAATGTTATACAAGCAACAGTCAAAAAGTCCCCCCCCCCCCACACACACACACACATACTTCCACCACAAAAAAAAGTTTTAGTTTGTAACATGGGGCGACTGGTGGAGTGGTTAGGGGCATCGTTCTGAAGCCAGAAGGTTGCCAGTTCGATCCCCCGTGCAGCTGTTTCAGTCGTTGTGTCCTTGGGCCATACACTTTATCCACCTTGCCTAGTGATGGTGGTCAGAGGGTCTGGTGCATGACAGCCTCACTTCTGTCAGCGCGCCCCAGGGCAGCTGTGGCTACAATGTAGCTCATCATCATCAGAGTGTGAATGTGTGTGTGCATGGGTGAATGTCTGAAGTGTAAAGCACCTTGGGGTCCAAGTGGACTTGATAAGGTGCTTTAAGTTCAAGCTATTTACCATTTAATATGAAAAGAGCTTTCGTATCATTTGTAAACTTTGAGTTTAGGATACAATGCAACAAAGAAAAAAAACATGTAAAAGATGAAGGATAGAACTACTTGTCCTGCCCCTGTCACTTTTGAGTAACTGTGGCCACATGTGCAATTTAACTGAATAGCTCCGTATTAATGTCTCAAATTAAGTTGATTTAAAGTCAGCATTGACCATAAACTGCATGTTGATAATGAATGGAAAGTCTCTGTCTGAAAGTGAGAGATTTCAGAATTCAGAACTTACCACAACTCAACATTGTGTAAAATTCTCTTACTTTTATTTAATCGTATTTCTGTAACATTTATTTTACATTTAGTCGGTCTTGCACTTTGTACTTTTCAGTGTTTATGGTAAAACTCTGTTTCTATGCAGGAAATACCATGTAGAGCTCAGCCATTTGTCAGTGCTCAGCCGAAAGCAAATAAATTTAATTAAAGTTAAATATAGTTAATTACAACTGTCCCATGAGGGCCACCATAACGCTCACGTGGCCCTCAATAAAAATGACTTTGACACCCCTGCTTTAAGATCTGGATACTTACAGGTTCACCTGGTTGTCCTCTTGGTCCCACAGGTCCATCAGATCCCTAAAATACACAGAAAGGAAACAAAATTACCCCACTGATCTTCCGACCATCTGTGACTCAGCTACTAGTTTGAGATGTACGCTCATAAAATTTATCTACAAAAAATTATCATTTAAGTAATTTTCTACCTGACAGATAAGGCTCAACTGTCTATTTAATAGCCCATCCTCTGAGACTTTACCAGCCAGCCTGCGTAGATTGACACCATGCTGACAGTGCTTGTAGCTGTCATATTTTAAATATATTTCAGAGATGCAGCGGCTAGCTTTTATGCATTCTGCAGGTCTTCTTGCTGAATAATCTCAAGCCAGCACAGCAGAGTTAATAATGCAGGAGTTCATGACTTAATGTCATTAAAGCTTGCTTAAATCTTTGCTCTTTTACAATCTAAATGGTTTATAAAATCAACTCCTTGATCTGGAAGTTACTTTTCTTTTACAGATTTCAATAAAATGAAACAKTACTGCAGAGTGTGTTTTCTGAAGTTTATTTCTTACCTTTTTTTGTTTTGTTTTGTTTTGGTTTGTTTTTGAAAGAACAGTGCACTCACCTTCTCTCCTGGCTCTCCAACGGGTCCTTGAGGACCAAGCCTTCCTCTGTCCCCCTACAAGATAAATGCATTAGTCATAAACGTGAAGACTTTTAAAGTGCTCTGCTTTAACAGAGGCGCATCAAGTCGATGCTTTTTTTTTAGTGTGACATCAYGGAAAGCACAACGACCATCCTAATCATAGTATGCAAATAAACATCTGCCGTATGATTTGTAAAGAATTCATGCATGTCATGTTCAGATGTTAATGCCTGAGAGACGACATAAATACTAAATATGTACAGTGACAAATTACCAAATCAAACTCACTATGTGTCCTTTGTCTCCTGGGAGACCTGGCAGACCGTCAAAGCCTCTGTCACCCTGAGATGTTCAAAAGAAACAAGTACATTAACCTCTAGAATACACACATAAACACATGTCATAGTGCTCTGAGTGGGTCTTGGAGGAGAAACATTTAGATAGCTGTAGGTCCGTTAAAATGTTGCTTTGACTGATAAAGGCTGTTCAGACAGAACCAGCATCAGAGGACTTTCATTTACTTAGTAAGCTCTTTCTGCAGCTGTTATAGAKTTGCCTTGTTGTCAATAACATATAATAAGCTGTGGGCTGCGTAATACCCCGAGGTTTACTCTTGCAAGTGGAGATAGTTGATTATTGTTGAAGACCTTTCTGCACAAACACAGATAATATTGCTGGATTCATGGCCCAGAAAAGGCCTTCCAGATTAACTGAAGCAGAAAATCAGTGGGTGAAGCACACAGCGCAGTGAGATCTGTTGGAGCTCACCTTTGCACCTGTTTCACCTGGAGCTCCCCGACCTCCATCCACACCCGCACGTCCCTGCAAAACACTCCGAGTTAACATGGGTTCTGCTTTACAGCACATTAAGCACTGCATGTGTTCGTTTCAGTATGTAGATAGAATTTTTTTTTCAGCCTGAAACCCCTCATTACTCAGGATATCTCACCCTCTTGCCTGGCTTTCCATTAATCCCTGGGGGGCCTGGCAAACCACGAAGTCCCTAAATATGTAAAAAAGTGAAGACAGCAAAACAAATGGGAAAAGATGTGAAAAGACAGACAAGAACACACAAGAAAAATCAATGTTCTGTTTACAAAAAAAAAAAAAAAGCAAGCTGTGATGGAAACTAAAAGTGAGGTAGAAATAAATGGTCCTGTCTTACCGGGGGGCCGTCTTCTCCAAGGTCACCTTTAAGCCCAGATGGACCTGGAACACCCTACCAATTAAAAGAAAAAAAATTTTTTATTTGACCAAGCTAAATTATATAGTGTTCTGATAGCACTGTGTAAAATATTTTTAATGTTATGTTTATAAACTTCTTTTGTTTTTCCAAAAATAACAAAAACTGGTTATTGGAAGCGGTCTGCACGCTGTGAACATGTATAATGATAAGTTGAGGTTAGGAGGTCAAAGAAAAAGCAGAGCATTAAGCCTGAAACAGGTCAGAAAGATTGCAGTAATGAGGTTAGAGGTTGGAGGAACCCTTGAGGTCTGGTATAAATTTGGTCTGAGTCAGAATAGTGCCTTACCACCGGGCCTGGTCGTCCTGTGAGACCCAATGGCCCTGGAGGCCCCTGAAGTGACATCTGAAAGGAAAAACATAACTGTGTAGATAATGTATTGTTTATGTAACTAAACCAAATACTTTTCACTTTTGTGCATAACAAAATATTCTTCATTCAACTCAAACTTACAATTTGATGACCACTGCTGATAATGTGATTTTAAAGTGGACAGTTCTGTGAAATGTACCTTGGTCTGTTGCAGGATAGCTTGTGCTTGTGCCTCCTGTGGGGACACYCCTGGTCCCTTCTGTGAATCTCCTCCATAATGAAACTGGTGACAATGAAAGGAAAGGCTAAATCCCACAGCAGGATTCCCCCAAATGCAAATGAAGTTCAATCACACAGCCCCCCCTTGTGGTCATGGCACTACACCATGTGATTAAAAAGAAGAAAAAAAACACAGTGTGAGTTTGTGTGTGAATGTGCTAGAAAACCATACTGGTAGCATCAGCAGGGTTCCTGGAGGACCTGGGATTCCATCAGTCCCAGGAAGACCAGGGCGTCCTTGGGGGCCCTAAAATTAGAACAGAAAAGGAGTAAAACCATGAACGAACTTGTGTGCACTCTGTTACTGAGGATCCATCAGTCTTTTGAAGACAGAACACAAAAATGGAAATGATTAAATAATTTTTGGATATTTGTATTTTTTAGGATTAGGGTTTTAAACTGAAAGCACTGCGCTTACAGTCGGGGCAAATCTCCAGGAAATGAAAGTAAGTCGGGACTTGTTTGGAAAGGAGCTCCTTTTGGCAGATGCTGTGGCCCATCTGCCACTGTAGATCAGACCAAACTAACTCTGCAGCACTGATCATTTGTATTTATGCACGTGGGTTGGGTTAGGAAATATGAAAAAAAACATTACATATTCATGTACAATTATGCTTCTGAAACAGACTTGTGTGAACAAATATCTGTTGGAAAAAGACTGTGTTTATGACTCGTATCKTTTTGTCAAACAGATGACGAAAATCAATCAGCGGAAATAATTTCCAAATAATTACCTTGATGATTAGAATAAAAATGATAATTATGATGTTTACAGCTTCCTGTCCTGCCAAAATGTTTCAGCAAACGTAATTCAGTTTGGGTTCACAATAGTCACAATATTTAATTCTCAGGTAAAGTTGCCAATCTTAACTCAAATAAATCAGTATACCTCAGTATTTGATCAAGTGCTGGAACCCACACTCACCAGATCACCTGGATCACCTCTGGGTCCCGGAGGACCTGTTGGTCCTGCTGGTCCGGGGAGCCCCTAAAAYGAAAAATGACCAGGGTTCATCACAAATTCAAGAATATACACATCATGTCATATAGGTAAAAAAGGCATTTTAGTTACTAAAATGCATTACAAAGATCCATTTAAACTCTTCTGCTACTTGTTTTAATGATGGAGTGACTTCATCATGTTCTGTCTATAGATGTCTTAAAACATCAATTTATAAAAATCATTACACTGTCATTATGATGAAGCAGGGGTTTACAGTATTATTGACATTCCTCCCCTAAAAGTCATGATGTTGTTTCTATGACCACTGTAGTGATGGCAACTAACAAAATTATCAACAATTAATGACCTCATCATGATGATTCAGAAAAAATAACTAAATGAATAAAGCTGGCTTACCTCCGGTCCTGGGAGACCTGAGGGTCCTATCACCAAAAGACCCTAGAAACAAGCACAAACTGTATGTATTGTAAAATCAAAGGATAGTAAATCATGCTCATGCTCATGAYTAAAAAAACTGCCAGACTATTTATTAAAGCCCTCCAGCAGCTCACCGGTTCGATAATAGCCGGCTCTCCCTTTTGGCCCTTTTCTGCTCTGAGTGCAGCCTGAAGTGGAAAAACACATGAATAGATGTGTGCAGTCAGAAATCACTTSACATCAACAACTTAAAGACGGGAATTCAAACGGAGGTTACCTCGACATTCAGCGTCTCCACTCGTTCCCGTTCTGCAAAGCCAAAGTCGTCCTCGTAAATTTCATACTCTTCATACTCCAAGTCCGTGTCATTCTTGGAATCTTCATATTCRAGAATCTGTCGAAGGGTCAGAAACTCGGCTGTGAACACCAATAAGACTTCTCCGCTTTTTGTTCGGGCTTGAAAGCGCCGCTCGTGTTCGCGTTTGACCCACCTCGTGTTCGGTAACATTTGGGCCCGCGGTAACTGTGGAAACTGAGAGGTCTTCAAACAGGTCTCCGTAAAGGCTGTCTTCATACTCCACCAACATTTCCTTCTTCAGCGGCGTGTCCTCCTGCAGCACAGATTTAAATAGTCTAAGGTTCCCTGCAAAGGTACATTTTTTTAAATCACAGAACAAAATGAAAGTTGTTCTACCAAAAGTTTGGTGAAAAACAGTCTGGCAGGTGTGCAGTTAATTACAAAGCTGGAGTTTAATTAATTAGCTGTGAAGGAAACTGAAACTGTCACAGAAACAGTTTGAGAAGAATACAATTGTCAAACAGTAAACATGAAGGAAATAAAAATGTTCTTTTGTTTTAGTGAGAAGTAAAAAAAAAACAATGAATGGAATTAATGTGGCATATCGTGTTAACCTTTAGACTGAACAATTATTTTCTAACTCTACACACAAAAAGAGCTACAGAAGCATAATTAAATGTGCTGTGAACATAAGGCTGCAATGATGGACAAATACTCAATGATAAAGGGGAGGTGACGATTAGGATGGTTAGTGGTGATGAGCAACTAAAGTGGTGAGAAGAGACAGAGGTGCTCGCTACTGTTAGGTTTCRGGGATGTGATTTGTTAGAACTGGGAACGGTGGCAGGGGTTGGGAGAGGATTTTATCTACAGGTAAGTTTGTCTACCTCCTTGGTAACCACGGGCACAGGCAGTATGCTGGGCACCACAGTGGGGGCCTCAGTCGCGAAGTCAGGTTTATGCGTCTCCACAGTGGTCCTGTCAAAAACTTGAGTGGGGAAATTAGTTTTTAGGGTGCTCCTAATATCTGGGAGCTCTGTAGGCGGGAAGGATTCCTGTGACGGAAACTCTGGCAGAGCTGTAGACGCTCGGAGGGAGCCTTCCTCAACGCCCTCCTCTTCGTGCTTTTTCTTTCTGGACCCCTTCTTGCCCTTGCCTTTGCGTTTTCCTCGAGAGTTTTTGTCCTTCTTCTTTTTGTTCTTTTTGTCTCGCTTGCCCTTTTTGGAGACGTCCTTTTTTTCGGCCAGTTCATCACTTTGCGTCGAGGCATCAGACTCAAGCTGGATGTGCTTTTATTTAAAAAAAAATAATAGAATGCAAAACGAGGACATAAATGGAGGATGGAAGAGGTTGGAAAACAAACACTGCTGTGAATGAGAACATAATTAGGAAAAGAGCTCGATACAAAAATGTGACAAATGTGATTTGAGAAGAATTAAATGCTTCTTTTTTAAAAAAAACATGGAAGACATGTGGTCAGAGGTCATCCTAATGTGAGTCTATGTATAAAATTGCTCATTATTGTTGTATTCTAGCARTTAAGAGGTGTGAGTTCTGTCATCTACTGTCCCTACTGCACATCAGTTAAATGAATGGCCTCGGTCTGACTGTGATGTTGAAGGCCAAGTCKGTGAAAGACACGGCATGATTTAGATCCACTTATAAACACAGTCAATGAGGGGGAATGTTATGAGAAGTAGGTCAGTCATTTGACAGATGTGGACATCCTCTGGACTGAGAGCACATCACTCAGCTGTAGTTATATAAAAGCCAGCTGGATGACCGCTGAAACGTCCTCATACTCCATTGTTTTATCAGCGACAAGCCACAACAAGACATGTGCGCTTAGTGCTGCGTTAGAAATGTGTATTGTCTGAAACACTAGACCACACACACACACACACACATACACACTCACACACCTGCTTGCTTTCAACTTCCATACATCAACAAAGACATACAATCATCCATACCTCTGATGGATTCATTTTTATACATGCCTTAAGAAACAGATGCGCTGTTACATCCAGTTTGAGTCATAAGCTTTTGGCTCGTTGAGCGTGTGGAGAAAGTTACTCTTTTTGGATTTTCTTTTTTGTTATCTGCACAATCTGTGTGTGTGTTTGTGTGAGAGAGCGTGTGTGGTGCCAAAAGAGCACCTGATATCTGAAATGCTTTTATGGTGGCTGCATGTAAAGAAAAAAAAAAAAAAGAAAAAAAACTAATGTGTTAACAGATGGCCTATTCTCTCTTTAGGTCTAAATGTTCTTTTTGCAGACACATTCTGGAACACATTTAGAATCACGCTGAAAGGCATGTTTGTGCTTCTAACAGCCAGAAGGATTTGGACAAAAAAGTAGCTGCTTCAGCTTTATTATTAGACAATAAATAAAGGTTCATTTACCACACAAAACCCAGAAGACAAACCCCATCTTATGCTAAGTGACATCTACTCTATCATATATATA